TTAACTCTGTTTTCTTCTCCACAGATGCTGCCAGACCTGCTGAGCTTTTCCAGCAACTTTGTTTTTGTACCAAGTCAGAAGAACCTGATCCAGCAGTCCAAGAATATGTACCAGAAGACTCAGAGGGGAGAGATGCAATGATTGTGATGAGGTATAGAATGAGTTCCATGATTAATGGCCCAAATCAGGAAGCCCTGGCTGACATAAAAAGGCTTAGTGTCAGAGGTACTGACACTCAGGTACCGACTCTGAATGAGGCAGTACAAAAGGAGAGGACAATTCATGTGTAAATAAAGGGTGACTTGGTGACAGGATTGCGGCCTCTGTGGAGTTCATCTGTTTCCCAGTGTTGATCAATTTCATTCTGCATTCAATTCTCGGAGAGTACCTGCAATCGAGATAAAATTATCAGGCCTCAAGGTTGCTGACTCATCACCTTCTCTCTGCTGGAACAGGGAACGTTTGACACAATTGCAAAGGGTTGTAGAAAACTATCGTTATACCTTCATCAGAATACAGATTGTATCTCATCAGAGCTCAGTCAAGTTTTCATTTTTGTCGTTCTATTAACTAATTTAATCATGTCTGTTAACATCACCTTCAAGTACTTCTATAATTATATGTTTGGCCTCTTCCATAAAACCGTAGGCAAGTTATTGTTTAGGGTACTTGTTATTCTTTTGCTCTGAATTGCACGTTAGACTCACATGATAATTGAATATATCCTTTTTGAACAACTTTATTTTCTATGTACATAAGAAAGACATCAGTGATATTCAGACTGATTAGAATATATATGAAAATATAAGGTATGAAACAGATGCAAATCATAAACTGAGATAACACGGCATAGAGCTGGATGAACACAGCAGGCCAAGCAGCATCAGAGGAGCAGGAAAGCTAACGTTTCCGGTCTAGACCCTTCTTCAGAAGGGTGGGTCTAAAAACAGAAGTTGCTGGAAAAGCTCAGCAGGTCTGGCAACACCTGTGAAGAAAAAAAATCAGAGTAAACATTTTGGGTCCGGTGACCTTTCCTCAGAAGTGGCCCCAAAACGTTAACCGTTCTGAGGAAGGGTCACTGGACCCAAAAGGTTAACTCTGATTTTTTTCTTCGCAGGTGCTGCCAGACCTGCTGAGCTTTTCCAGCTTGTTTTTGTTCCTGATTTACAGCATCCGCAGTTCTTTCAGTTTTTAATCAGTGACATCCGTTGACTGATTTGCAAGGCAAGTTTGGAGAAACTTTGGATTGCTCAACTTTGAAAATAGGCGAATAAGAAAAATCATATAGAAGTATAAAATAATTCTCATTGAAGAAAGATAAATATACTGTGGAAGTAATTTTGAATTTTGTTGTCTGAGATCTAAATGGAGCAGCAGATTAATGGAACAAAAATCAAGCAGCTTCTAAACCAGACAGCAGACAGGATCCACATTAGGAAGGTCTGGGTGGGATACTCTTCAGTAGATCGGTGTGGACTCGAAAGGCCAAATGGCCTGCTTTCATACGGTAGGGATTCTAATGATGTCTGAGTTGGGTGACTAAAATATCTAGACCTGGAGATAATAGTTAACCAACACTCACCTGTCTCTGACAACATTAATGGTCTTCAATCCCATAGCTTTGGCTATCTGAATTGCTGCCTGGCCTACACCACTATTTGCAGCATTCTGTATCACAGAGTCACCTGTAAAATACCAGAGTGTGACAGATTTCCACAATTTTTCAAATGTACTTCAAACAAGACATGCAATCATCCTATCCGCACAAGATATGCACTTCCATATTTCTATTGTTAATGCGCTTTTACTTGCAATATACAGTACATCTTAGATGCCAGAATCAAATGCACTTTTCCTCCTATTGATGGCCAGTTGAGATAATTATGTAACTGTCATATTTGATAGAGTCACAAATTAACAACATCAAATTTGAGAAAACTTAGTTATGCTTTTTGTCAGGCCTGCACTTCTAACATGATTAACATACATAACACAAAAGAACATCTGAGCAGTAATTTGTCATCGAGGATCTCCATTTAATAAAAACAAGCAACTGTATAATTTAAATCACATCATTCCAAAAGCATCCATCCTGACAAACAGATTGCCTTAGAAGTGAAAGAATGCCTGACAGCAGAGTGCCTATTACCTTTGTTACACTTGTGCTTGTCATAAAGTTATTTACTCTGTTGGTTAGACAACTCTGTAGATTTAGAAGAAAAAAAATCACAACAAATGGGTGGGGGTGGAACTTTGACTGTTGATTTTGCAAAACATTGCAGCGATAGGATCAGTGGTGCATATTAGATCTTAAAACATGAAAACTGAACTAAAAAGAATCTTAAAATGTCAAGCTCTCAGATATACCAGCCAGTTTATCTACCATACAAATCCAGATGATTGTTGGTTCAGCAGGGTTCATTCCAGAGAAGGGTGCCATAATTGGTGTTAGCATCTCTAAATTAGGGAATGAAAAATCATCCAGGGTTGTCAATTATGATCATTATTGGAAATATGCATTGGAGGATGTCTAAAGATGCAACATATCCCTATCCTTAAATTTCTTACCAACCCTCAATGATTAATTTCACACACAAAAATTGCTACTTAACTAAATTTTATTCCAATGACTGTAAACTGCTTTGAGAAGTGTCATGATTGTGAAAAGCACTATACAAATGCAAATCTTTATTTATTTTACAAAAGAGAAATGGATAACATCAATGATAATATCTTTTTCTTACATGGATAGAGCAATGATCCCATTACAGGTGGGTAATTTTTTCCCAACCATTTTCGTTGTCACTCTTTATTCATTGTCTCACCTAAAATCAGAACTGAGGATGTAGGAACATACAAATCAAAACTGAGCAAAGCAGTTAGAAGAGTTAAAATACTGGCATCTTATAAAAACAACCAATTCTCACTGATTTCTCAAAAGGTCTGACAATGAAGATTGAAGGAAGTTAACCAACCATCAAAATAAAATAAAAAGCCCTTTACCCATTCCTCTCACCCAGCCACTCAAATGTAAGATGAAGCTGCTACGCAACAAAAGGTAAAAGCATAAAAATCAAAACTTAGAAGGTAACACTTGCCAAGGTTTGTCAGAGGTGGTCTAAGGGATGCTACTGTCTAGAGTTGCCCTATTTTGTGCTATACATCAGGAATGAGAGGATTAAAACTTTTTCATTTTTCTTTAGGTTATGTTTTCATTTCAAATATTATCCATCACTGCAGTTCAGATTTTATCTTTAATATGACCAGGTGCCAATAGTGCACTTTCCATTTTATAGGTTGTCATATCCAGTAACAAATTATTTAATTTTCTCAGCAGGAAATTCTTTATCTTCAATGGAGTAGGTGACCGCCTAGTGGGTATTATTGCTAGATTGTTAATCCAGAGGTAATGCTCTAAGGACCTACATTTGAATCTTGCCACGGCAGATGATGGAATTTTAATTCAATAAAAATCTGGAGTTAAGAGTCTTATGATGACCATGAATCCATTGTCGATTGTTTAAAAAAATCCATGTGGTTCACAAACAACCTTTAGGGAAGGAAACTGCTATCCTTAACAGATTTTGACTACATGTGACTCCAGACCCACAGCAATCTGGTTGACTCACAACAGCCCTCTGGGATGGCATAGCCAGTAATGCTCTTATCCCATGAATAAATAATTTAAAAAAAACTTTAGCTGTTTGGCATGAATTTTTATTAGCTGGATGAGTTCTCAAAATGGAAAGAAGGCAATTTAGAGATAATTGAGCTTTCGTGGACAGTCTTAACTCTTCCAAATGTCCGTTAAATATATATGAAATAAAATGACAAAAATGGATATTTATTTCCAACAAACATGTAATGAAACATGATTAAGAATCTTTGATGTATCACAATGAATGATGGACAAGCTATGTGTTTTGAGATTGTGTTGAAGTCCCATTTTGTTATCAAAGACTCAATTTTGTGGATAAAAGACAACGCATGTGAACCATGTCCAAAATAAGCTCAGAATTTATATTCCTTTTTTGACAATACTATGTCTTTAAGGAGGCATATTTTGTCCTTTTTTGCAAAACGAAGAAAGCTTGAGACTGAGGTGATGAGCAGTCTGCGCAAGTCAACGAAGTAAACAGCTTTTGAGGCTTTGGGGCTTTTAAAGTCTTTTTTAAAAAATAGAAGTAGCCTGAATGGGTGGGGTCAAGCTCCCACAGAATCAGGAATTTTAGTTTTAGCTTTCTGTAGGTGCTGGAGTCTTGAAGCTGGATTGGAAGATCTAATTTCTCGCTCTGTTACAGCTAAAAGCTGGGGTTCTCTTCCTATTGCTAGAATTACGTGAGACAATCCATTTTACTGAATTTGCCTTTGCCAAGGATGTTACGATATTGAAGTAGTTAATTAGTAGTAGTTAATGTATTTATTATTTTGTTAAGCCTTTCAATACAATTATAGTTAAGCCAATTTTTCTTATTTGAACTCTGCGTTTTGTGTTTTGCTTGATATCAAGTAGTTTGACCAAATTGCATCTGGAATGCAACGCCTTACGCATACCTTTAAAGTAAGAAAAAGTTAGGGTCTAGACTATCTTCTTAATATATTTTGATGGGGTTTGGTCTGGTCCATAACACCCGTGTAGTCCTGATCTCCAGGTGGACACATCAAGAACAAGACCGCACTGTTTTAAGGTAATTTGACATGGAGAGATACTTTGCTCTTGCAGCAATTTAATCATTAATTTCAGATCTGGAATGCACTGCTTGAGAATGTGGTGGAGGTAGGTTCACTTGAGATATTCAAGAGGGAACAGGATTATCTTCTGAAATGGAAAAATATGCAGGGTTATGGGGCAACTGTGGGGGAAATGTGATTATGCATGTTGTACATTCGGTGGCCTGAGCAGACAGGACAGGCTGAATGGTCTCCTTTTGTGCTGTTCTGCTATTCTGTGATTGGTATTTTGTTTAACTTTATCCAAGTTGCAATTAGTGCATTCATGTCTTGAGACTTTCATTGGCAAAGATGCAATAAGGCTACATCTCTAGAATGTTGAGCCACTGAATGTTCATCTACCATTTAACCAAACTTATTACTTATATACTTGATTCTGTATAACCTATTCAATTCAAATAACTGATCCAACAGCACTGAATCTAACCATTTCATTAACCTAAAAATACTAACCAGATCTCTTCAGTCAGTCTTCTCATATGATATACTCCAGCTCTCCAGTGTGCCCTGATAACTACTCACACTTCAGCAAGGTATCAGTTACTAATAATCACATCAATACCATGAGTTGAAAATCTGGCTTTAATACAGTGCTATATCAATTCTCAATAAAACAACAATTAATGCGAAAGTGTTTTTTTTCTCTGGGGTGAGGTTGGTTGGAAAATACTGACTTGTTAGGGACAGCCCACTTCAGTGTTTTTTTGTTTAGCAGATTCTTACTACAAGGTACTTTGTTGGCACTTTTGTACTTGTTAAATTTGATATTAAATTTCTGGTTGCTTCCATTAAATAAACATGGAGATGCTCACTATCGCAATATAGCAAATTTAAACAACAGCATTGCTAATGGAGACAACGCTAGAATATAAATAAGACAACCATTGAAGATGCTTCTGTTGAAGTACTGCTTGCAGGAAAAATAAATGGATACCATTAGCAATGCATGTATTTAACTTTGGCCTAAAATGAGCCAGCACTGCTGTTCTTTGCTCTCTACTCCTGATAATCGCTAGTGCACGAGGTTTATGGCAGACCTGTAAAGTCACGAATAAATCTTGACAACATGGTTACCTAAATGCCTATCAAAATATCAGAAAATGGGTCCTTCAACAATAGCCGGGAAAACTAAGTCCTCTTCCACGAAGCTCCTGTCCCACAACACTTCAAATACCGGATTAAGATCAACAGTGAGATCCTATAAAATATGGACCAATTTCCGTATCTTGTGAGCCTCCTTCGCACATTTAAGACCTCACACTTATCCAATAATCAAGAATTGATTTTTGGTTTAGAAAGATCAATTTTGAAAGTCAGTGCAAGACAAAGGCAGGCATAAAAGTTTATGTATGTGGAAAGGAAAAGATCAGCTAGGATAGATTTACACCCATTACAGGTGGTAACAAATTAATTTGCAACAAAGAACAAGGAAATGACAGAAAAAATAAGCAGTTACTTTGCATCAATCTTCATTGAATATGATGCACAAAATCTCTCAAATACCATGTAACCAAATGACTTAGCTTAGCAAAGATGTAGGACTTGAAAACCTGGCTAAATTAAAAATTGATATATCTGTGGACCAGATCAGCTTCACGAGCTTGAAGATATCACTAATGAAACTGGATGCATTGGTGGTTACTTTTTGTAATCCTGTAGATTCTGGAAAGGTTCCTGTTGATTGGAAAGTAACAAATGTAATTCCACTATTTACGAAAGGGAGGGATAGAGCTGCAAACCTATTATCATGAGTCCCTACAGTGTGGAAACCGGCCATTTGGCCCAACAAGTCCACACCGACTCACCCTCTACCGTATCCCTGTAACCCTGCATTTCTCATGCCTAATCCACCTAACCGCATCCCTAGGCACTGTGTGCAAGTTAGCAAGGCCAATCCACCTAACCTGCACATCTCTAGACTGTGGGAGGAATCCAGTGCACCCAGAGAAAATCG